ATTCCTGCTCACGAAGTGGCACACTGTCAGAACAGAGATGCACTTCATTTATCATTTTTCTATATCTCTGTGGCCTCCAGCCTGAAACAGTTATGATATTTCCCCACAAAGGCATTTTAATTTTTTCTGACACTGTGCTAAATGGCAGCTGTGCATTTTCTTCAACAACACTGGTGATTTTTTTTGACAGTTGCAATCACATGAGAGTGACTTGGTGGCTTTACCAAATGCCTCATGTTGTGATATCTTGCAGTGGCGCAGTAGATAAAGAAAGGCAGGAAGGAAGAGAAGACAACAACATATGAAAGCTGTAGGTGGGGAGATGGGAGTGATGCAGCTTTGCAGGATCCCAAAACAACCCGAGAAGCAATCTGCTCATGTTTTTAGTTTAACCGTGAGTGCTGACTATATAGAAAACACACACACACACTCATTGTAAATGATCACTGTTCTCATGTATTATTAGAAACCCTGTGAAAATTGAACAAGGTCTAGTTGTTTCCTATGACATCACTAGCACAGTTATAGCATAGAGAGACTGACTGAAGCCACAAAATGACTTGTCTCTGCTTTGACAATGTAATGGCTGTGCATCCGCAAACTCTCTGTGTGTACCTTGGCCCGTGTGTGTTCATGCATGCATGTGTTTTTCTGTACACAGGCCCTGGTGAGCCTCGGTGTGAGTGTGCGTGAACGCAGTGTTCTCGGCAATGCACAGTACCCACGAGTCCTTGTGGGTTTGCTGCTCCTGTGACGCGATGATGCCGAGCCCTGCTGAGGGTGATGGTGTGCATCTCTGACCTTTCCTCGCTCAGAGCAGGAGTACACAGTGTTCTTTTCAAAGTGACCCTAGCTCTTTTTACACCCCAGACACACACAGAAAACTTGCTCAGTATGCAGGGAATGGCTTTGCTGCTGATGCTGACAAGTAGTTTATTTTAGATTAGAGCACCACTGTAATAAATAAAAGAGACTCAGTGTGCCAAATTCTTAAAGTTATGTGCCCAAAGCCCTGAATCCATCACTAGAAGGCTGTTTTTGTGTACATTAGATCACTTGTTCATTGTTCGACTACCTTTTTCCATAAGTGGCTCATCTTTAGATAGACACTACAGTCATTTAAAGAACAAGGCAAATGCAGCTTTTTAAGATAGAACCTGCCAAGCCCTGAAACCAGGACCTACATAAAAATCTTAGATCAATCACTTGCACTGCCAGAAGTCACTGGTAATTTTGTCCCTGAGCAACAGGAGGCAGTTGGATATGGCCCAGGTCTGTTAGCATTCAGAAGTTTTTCGATTACACCCAGTGTGACAATTGAGCAGCTTAGTGAATCTGAATAGTCACTTGTTATTGCCATGGCCGGCCCTTGCATTTATTTTTGGCAGACAATAGCAGAGCTGCAACCACATTGTGGTGGTGTTCATTATTCCCTTGCTGCTAAATAAATAGACTTGGTAAACTCTGTGCTCGCTCGCTTCATCTCTCCCAGTGTGTGGATCAGCAGTATCTGCCATGTGTCATCAACTGCATGGGTCCTATATGTGCCGTTTCTAATGTTGTCTGTCTGGCGTCATCTGTTCTTTGTCTTCAGATCCGGTTAAAAGATTGTTGATCTGCTTATCATGGAAGGTGTCCTTGCAAGTGTGTGGTGAAAAGTTTGGTTGCATTGCAAATGAAGGATCAAATACTTCATTGGGAGAAGAAGAAGTAGAGAAATCACACTAACAAATATCATGTACTTCCTTGTTGAAGACTCATTTCTCTTATGATCGCACCATAAGGCAAATTCACATACAAAGTATGTGTGTCATATAAGCAGCATCCTCTCTTTACTGTATTATAGGCTACCATGGTCAGTAGCATTACCACCATTTACATGGTCATAATTTGCTTCCTTTCATTCTTGGCACTATGTGTCATCAGCTACAGTACATGTATATGACTAAAGATGCAAAATGGCTCATGTTTAATTTAATTTTAAGGGTATTAGTGAATGTAAAGGTATCTTCACTGCTCAGAAATGACTCACTATACTAGTATTATACTCCTTTATGCCATTTCAGTGACATACCCACTTTAAACTGAGCACATTAAACTTCACAGCAGTATTTTATGTGTACCTGGAGAATGTGAAAGCATTTTCAGATTCTACATTGCACTTTGAAAATTATAAGATGGCCCATTTTATGTCAACTATGTTCACTGTGCTCATGCAAACACCAGCACCTTTTTAAGTGTGAAAGTTGCCTGCAGTCCTCAGGACATGTCACGCCCTTGTCCTAGTCACAATACTTAAAAATAAATGCTAGGACTGTCCTTTTAACTTGGGTTGAGTTAATGTTTTTATTTGTGCTAGCATACTGAAATGTACACATTAGCATTTGGCTTCAGAGAAACACAAGTGGCTCTCGTGGCTAACCGTTTCTTTATTTGTAGGTCAAGCTGTGACTGATGAAAAAGTTCACCATTCCCACAGGTTGATTTGGGGGAATGAGGCCACGGTTTTCATGGTGATGCTTGTAACTCAGTCTGTCTCTGGGGGTCTGTGGATTGTTAGGATTGTTTTCCATTGTGTACTAGAGAAAAGAGGGTGCAGTGAGAAAAAGAGAGTCATTCATACTGTAGCTCAGCTTGTGATATGCAAAAGAGAGATGATATACACGTGTGAGATACAGCTTATTGTCGCATTTTTAATTTCTTTTGTCTGTGGTAGGTTCACAAATCCACACAAAAAGTGAAAGAAATATTTATTTGAGTAAACATTTTAGAAAAACAGAGCTTAATGGAGCTTTAAAATCCTATAATATTGCCAGAGATCCAACCCCAGCTCATACATAATCCATCCAAGATTGAGAAGCTCTCTATCGCAAGTATTCAAAATAGCTTTTGGGTAATTCATTTTTCCATTCTGGCACCCAACTCTTCACATGCTGAGCAAAACCTGCAGGCAGAAAATGGAAATTGAAATCAACTTCAGATAGCCCCTGCTGTACAGCGTGGTCCTCAGGTGCCAATGAATCCCTTTTCCGATCTCTGTAGCTCACACAGCCCTTCCAAACTGTCCATTACAAAGGATACGCTGCTAAGATTTTCCTCTGAGGCACAGGCACCTCCCTCCAAATTGTTTACACGGCAGTTGTAGTTGATCTGCTTCTCGCAGTGTCCTCGCTAGACACAGTAGCACTAATTTGAACTCATGCCTTGTGGTTTCTCCTTGTAAAGCAGTATTCACAGCAGAGAAGTATTACTGTTGAATCTTTGGGCAATTTAAAGGATAATGAGCTTTTCCTATTATGTTTTCATCCCTTGGTAGATGCAAACATTAAAGTAAAAACAAGGCCAGGTCTAGAAGTGGGCTGAAGTGGAGCTTGAAAACAAACTCTCACATTCTGTAAGCGTATTTGGAATTGTGCATTTGACTTATTGTATATTCTGGAGAGCGCCATCTTTGGAGAGGTTTTCAAAGATGCCAAAAAGCCACTCATTGTTCAAAGTTCAGTGTCATCAAAGTTTGATTGTCATTATTGTCAAAGACAAACGCAGAAAGTCTCTCTTTCCTGGAGAAGCTATGAAACCAGATCCTGGTATATCAGTGGATTATGACTTTGTTTGCTGCTTAATGTTTAAGTGTTTGAACGTGAATATAATGTTTTTTAAAATAGTACTGTATGTGTCAAGTACATAACAATGTCTTAGAAGTGAACAAATAGAACAGTTTGCCTACAGAAGTGACAAGCTTTGCACTCAAGGAGCAAGCACTGCTTTTCTTCTACAGAGTCTGATTCAGGCCTTTAGTTCCAGGAAGGAAATACAGCCCATATAGTCTTAGTTTATGTGTTAAGTTGACTGATTGAAATGCTTGGAGATGAAAAAATTCCCGAGTGGTGCTGTCATAATGCAGGATAGGTGTAGGGTATGGAATGACTCAGGTGGACCTCAGTGGCTACCAGGAAGTCAAGTGATGCTGAGTCAAATTATATTTTTTATGTCCCAATATCACAGATTTCCCTACCTGTTGAAAAACAGCATGTTTTAATTTTGCATCTTTAATTTCTAGAATTAACAAATGTTAACACAGATAAACAAACTAACACCATGATGCCTGACTCCACAGCAGAGCTACAGTATATGTAGCCTGTGTGTTAAATTACTCATCACTGCCTAGTGTTAGCCAGCAGCCAACAGTTGCTTTTGGCTTCCAGAGTCAGACTTGTCCCTCTTTGCTTCATCGGAATCATTCTTTTATTCTTACATTTAACTTTGAAAAAAAAAAAGCCCTGCACTGCACACAGGGTATCACAACCATTTAGTTTAGTCAGTAGACATCAGCGTGGCGCTGAGGATGATCCACTTCAATCAGTGTTGACTGCTTGCCATTTAAATGCATCATTTACCATGCTATGAATAATCTTTTTCACACATTATATTATCTTTAATTTGCTTTCACCTGTTGCACAAGTATAAAATGTCTTTCTTTCTTCTTACTTTCTCATCTAATTTAAAAGATAAGGTCATTTTCTATATTATGTATTTTAAACACTCCCCCTACAGAGACTAGAACCAACAATGATTGACGTCTGCTTATGATTAATGTCTGTCACTGTCAGTCCTGGATTAGCTTCTTCATCTGTGCCATAGGTCTGTCATCTTGCATTTTACGGAAGAAGTACATTCACCCCATTACTCCAGATCTTATTTGTGTATGGTTTATAATAATACGGTCTCAGGGGGTTTTCCTCCCTCAGCTTTAATTTATTTTTTAAATAACATTTAGGAAACTAGTTTATTTTAGCCTCATTCTGAAGATGATTCTGTCTCTGCCTGTCTCTGCAGGGACCCGGGTCATTGGAGGATCCCTCCAGTCCCAGTTCAGCGAGCACACAGCAGCCTCGAGGTCGACACAGTTTTGTCCAAGAGCATTTCCAGGCTCAGTACAGGTGAGAAGCATGGACATAAACAGTGTTCTCAGATAAAGTTCAAGATGCTGCCATACCAGGGTTTTGTTAGTTTCTGTAACTTTTAGGACTTTCTTTCAAAAGCTTTTAGTAAGAAATAGGATGAGAATACATTTTGGAAACTGTCTTGTGTCTCTTATAAATTATGCAGTATGTACGCTGGATTCCACCGGCCACTATATCAGATGTCCTGAGGTTGCACTTGACTAAACACAGTGCAACACATAGCATTAAAGAGAATGGCTGTTCAGCACAGGTGAGAGTGTAGTTTCTCTCCTGTGGATAAGAATCAGTAGAAAGTAGGTCAAACAGACCTGCGAAGGATTTAGGGGATTTATCTTTAATACTGGCTTCTGGCTCTCTTTGCTTCATTCACAGTGGAAAGTCAGAGACCGAGCTTCTCCACTTTAATCGACACTCTAATGGAATTGACTCTAGACCTTTCAGTAACCTTGTCAGCACACTTGGCTGAGCACATTTGATTGATTGATTTGATTTATTCTTTCAAGCATGTAAAGACAGTTGATATGTCAACACACATAATTTTACACATATCCAACAAATGCTAATCCAATATCAATTTGCTTATACCTAGTACATGCTTGAATGGAGTAGGAAGAAGTCAGACTTATCCAGTCCTACCCCATGACATCATCTTACCATCATTGGTTTACAAGCAGTATCTCTACATAAATAATT